TGCAGCCTTGGACTCATCACTGAATCATTTAATAGACCAGTGCATCACCTGGGACACTGGGTTTGCTTTTAAGCAAAGTCTTTGGCCTTGGAAAAATGCAAATTAATTCAAATATGGGTTGTTTGTTTGTTAATTGCAGGTTAAGTTGAATTGTTTCACATCTGTCATAGATAAAGCAGTCATCTGCTTCTGCAAGCACACTTGTCCTTACTGGGAGCCATCTTCTACCTGGAAGGGATGGGAGGAATTTGTCTCCTGTGCACTTAATTAAATTGTTCATCTAAAGTTAGTGCATCTTAAAAGTATAAAAGTACCTGAGACTCCTGTGCAGTTATTAATGATGCACAGCTTGTGTCATCACTGCTTGCAGAATTACTCAGGACTGAGATCAGAAGAGGAGGCTCTTCCAGCTCCAATTCAGATTGTTTCTTATTCATCCTACTAGAGAGTAGGCCTTGACTGAGGCAATCCCAGTTGCCTCATTCGGAATACCAGTGGGTATTAGTAGCTTCCCAGAGTATTAAAGTACTTGGAAATCTCTGGTTTTCAGTTTGGGGCCAGGGATTTCCTCCTTTTTTTTTTTTTTTATGAAGTTATTTTAAAGACACGTTTGTTCTTGTTTATGGCAGGTTATAGACATGACAGGCCGGGAGCAGAAGGTTTATTACAGCTACAGTCAGATCAGCCACAAGCACAATATCCCAGATGACAGCCCTCAGCTGCCGCTGGGCAAAGACTTCAAGCCCCAGGGCTTTGCCTTGCCCGAGCTGGAGCACAACCTGCAGCTCCTCATTGACATCACGGAGCAGGAGATCATCCAGAATGACCGGCAGCTGCAGTTCGAGAGGGACATGGTTGTGAACCTGACCCATGAGATACAGAAGATATCTGAAGTTCTCTCACACGAGGAGAAGGCAATCAGCAACCTCAGCAAGGTGCTGGAGATGGTGGAGGAGTGCGAGAGACGGATGCAGCCCAGCTGTGAAAATCCCTTGACCTTGGATGAGTGTGCAAAGATCTTTGAGACACTGCAAGACAAGTACTATGAGGAGTACAGAATGTCCGACAGGGTAGACCTGGCAGTGGCAATAGTCTATCCTCTCATGAAAGATTACTTCAAGAACTGGGATCCCCTCAAGGTCTGTATCAGTTTGATTCATCTGGAGTTCTTCCTTGATGGTTTAAGTAGTCTTTATTACCTTGACTCCCCTCCTTCTTGTCCCAAATTCATGGTCAATCTGGAGAGAAAGAAATCAAACCAAAACTCCACTCTGCACCTGCTGTCAGGCCTTTGCCACAGCTGATGGTTGCTCTTCTGTGAAGTGGCTAACAATTTAGGAGCTTCTAAGGTTAAAGTCAATCCCTTTCATGGGTGTTGGGAATAAAAAGCAGATGAAAGCCAAGCCTCTCATTCTTGGTTATTAGCAGAAGTAGATCTGTCTTTCAGGCAGTAAGCTACACACTGTCTATTCTTAATGCTGTTTAGACTGTGATAGGTGAGATCTGGGCCCTCTCTGTACACCTGAAACAGTTCAGACTCTTCTGCCCCTGGAGGTCCATTAAATCCACAGAGTGGGATTTTCCTCTCATGAGCCTTTACTAATCACACCTGCAAGCTCCTGCCTTGGCTCTGGGCAGGGGAGAGAGCTGGAGCCAAGTGTACATCAGCCTGCTTGCTCCTTGTAGATACCAACTGAAATGAGTGGCAGAGGATAAAGGCCACTCATGCCTTCTCATTTCCAGGACTGCACATATGGCACAGAGATCATAGCCAAGTGGAAGAGCCTCCTGGAAAACGACCAGCTGTTGTCACACGGTGGGCAGGACCTGTCAACAGATGCTTTTCACAGGTAAAGAGCAAAGGGTTTTACTTTGTGCTGCTTCCTTGGGGATGGAGAAGCAGATACAAGTGTGCTTTCCAGATGATTCTCCTGATGCGCCTGTTAAAGTCCAGCTGTCAGCTGTATAAAAGGAAGTAGCTTTGAAATGGCAGTTACCATTTGGTTTATTTAGCCCTGGGGCTATAGCTTTAAGCTTAACTTTGATCTGTTTGTATGTTTCCCCCCAGACTGATGTGGGAAATCTGGATGCCATATGTCAGGAACATCGTGGCGCGGTGGCAGCCGCGGAACTGCGGGTCGATGGTGGATTTCTTGGATGGCTGGGTAAATGTTGTTCCTGTCTGGATACTGGATAACATTCTGGATCAGCTCATCTTCCCCAAGCTTCAGAAGGAGGTGAGGAGAGAGGGCTGCCTTAGAGGGAAGCTGGGCTCTGAACTAGAGTTTGAATTCAGTCAAGTAGAGCTTTTAAGATCCTGATTTGCTGCCTCTGCACTGGGGGCCTAGGGGTTCCTTTGTGACTCTTTGCATCTGGACAGATATAATGCTAACAGATGGACTTATTTTGATCTTCAAGGTTGAAAGCTGGAATCCTTTGACAGACACAGTCCCAATCCATTCGTGGATCCACCCCTGGCTCCCCCTGATGCAGGCACGACTGGAGCCACTGTATTCCCCTATCAGGAACAAGCTGGCCAATGCACTTCAGAAGTGGCATCCCAGTGACTCCTCTGCCAAACTTATCCTGCAGCCCTGGAAGGATGTGTTCACTCCTGGGTCATGGGAGGCTTTCATGGTCAAAAACATCGTGCCTAAACTAGGTGAGAGAAGGCAAACAACCCTGCATTCCTGGCATCTGCTGGTTGCCACCTTCCCCTCACACCTCAGAAAGGCATGTGTTAACCTGGCTGGGGTGTTACCTCAAATAATATGAAGTTTCTCAGTTCTGGCAGCAAATTGCAATGGCTGGAACTGGCAGTGTGCAGTTGTGGTGGCAGGGATCTGCCAGACAGTTTAAAGACCCCAGGTGTCCCTTAGGGCAGTACAGGCGCTCCTCAAGCCATGTGTGTTGCTGCTGAAGTAAGTCAGGGTGCTGACAAAACTGAGTCACGTTCTTTTCTAACTCTTCTCCCCCTTTTCCCAGGGATGTGTTTGAATGAACTCATCATAAACCCCCACCAGCAGCACATGGATGCCTTCTACTGGGTGATCGACTGGGAAGGGATGATTTCTGTCTCCAGTCTTGTTGGGCTGCTGGAGAAACACTTCTTCCCAAAGTGGCTGCAGGTGAGAGGCTGTGAGGGCTGAGGGAACATGCCTGATTACCTGTGTTTTAGTGACTTCTGCCTAGAAATTGCTGCTCCAGTGCTGAAATGCTTTAACTGCCACTAGTTACTGGGGTGATTTCTACTCGTAGCTCCATACACATCAGAACAGACTGGGTCCTAAGACTGCTAGAGTCCTCTGTCTCACTGAAAGCTCAGTAATAACCTAAGTGGCAATCAGGACTCTCTTTCATCAATGTACCAGTCCTTCTGCATTTATCTGTCGCATTGTTTTGCAGGTGCTGTGCTCTTGGCTGAGTAACAGCCCCAATTATGAAGAGATTACAAAGTGGTACCTGGGTTGGAAGTCCATGTTCTCAGACCAAGTGTTGGCACATCCATCCATCAAAGACAAATTTAATGAAGCTCTTGATATCATGAACCGAGCTGTTTCCTCCAGTGTCGGTAGGTGGCTTGTGGTGGTGGCAGCACCACGATGCCTGGTTCTTGTGAGCCTGTGTTTAGGCAGTATTGTAGCAGCTCCTGGGTGCAGTGGCCGTGCAAAATGATACTATGGGCAAGCATTGCATAAAGAGAGATGTGCCTATTGAGAAACAGGATAAAGGGAATGGGAGTGGTTTTAAAGTGACAGAGGGGAGATTGAGATGAGCTCTTAGGCAGAAGCTCTTCCCTGTGAGGGTGCTGAGGTGCTGGCACAGAGTGCCCAGAGAAGCTGTGTCTGCCCCATCCCTGGCAGTGTTCAAAGCCAGGTTGGACACAGGGGCTTGGAGCAAGCTGCTCCAGTGGAAGCTGCCCCTGCCTGTGGCAGGGGTTGGAACTGGATGAGCTTTTAAGGTCCCTTCCAACCTAAACAAGTCTGTACTGCTGAGATTCTGTCACTTTGTGTGTCCTGAACTGGAGTTTACCCCCAGACCTTGTGGTGCGAAGGGACTGGGACCTTGTTCTCACCTGTTCTGTCTCTCCACCCAGGCGGGTACATGCAGCCGGGCGCAAGGGAGAACATCGCGTACCTGACTCACACCGAGCGGAGGAAGGACTTCCAGTACGAGGCCATGCAGGAGCGGCGGGAGGCCGAGAACATGGCCCAGCGTGGCATTGGCGTGGCTGCCAGCTCCGTGCCCATGAACTTCAAGGACCTCATTCAGACTAAGGCAGAGGAGCACAACATCGTGTTCATGCCTGTGATCGGGAAGCGGCACGAAGGGAAGCAGCTCTACACCTTCGGCCGCATTGTCATCTACATTGACAGGGGCGTTGTGTTCGTGCAGGGGGAGAAGACGTGGGTGCCTACCTCCCTCCAGAGCCTCATTGACATGGCCAAGTGAGGCCCTGCTTTGGAAGTGCCCAGACCAGCTTGTGGATGTTTTTAGTGCTACTCTCTTGGAATAAAGAAGAGAGATTTGTAAATAGACTGAAGCTGTAGCTGTGTGCCAGGACTTTTTTCCTGGAAGAGCTGCTGAGGTAGTGTCAGGAGATGAAATGACACGTGGGAGTTGGCATGACAGGAGGAACAAGTGTTTCAATGCCTGTGTAACTGCCACTGGTGACAGCGTGTTGAAGGAACCGTGGGCATGGATTATCTGCTCCCACAGGAGGGCTGGTCTGTACAAGTCCCCAAGGGTTCCAGTGACAGAGTGCCTGCTGCACCGCTCCAGCAGCAAGTTACTGTCCCTCTTTGCCAAGGACGCATCCCACTGCTCTCTGGCGGTGCTGGTGGCTCCCTCAGCCCAGTGCCCACCCATGGGTACTGGGGCCCCTCTGTCCATCAGCCCAGAGCTGGAACATCAGGGGACTTTTTCCCAGTAGATCACAGACCATGTGCTGCTGCCCTGTGAGAGGTGGGTTTTAGTTAACATGCTGTCATTGGGATAACTCAAAGCACAGCTTTACCTTTTATTAAATAAGATACAAAACTGTCCCCTCGTGCTCAGTGTTCGGGTGATGCCACTTCTTGGCAGAGCACAACACCACGTCCGTGCTTGAGCTGCATTGCAAAGCTGCCATGTGCAGAGATGTGGCCCATGGGACTCAGGCCTTAGCGGCAGCAGGGCAGCACCGTTCAGCTCCGTCCTCCCTCCTGATGATCTCCAGGTCCTCGCAGTCTTGGTACATTGGCTCCTCCAGGAAGTCCCAGACCTCTGGGGAGATTTGCTGCAGTTTTTGGAGGGGGAACCAGTGGACGGAGGTGTCATTGAAGGTGTCCAGGTAGCGAGGGTGAGCGGGGAGTGCCGCTTCCTCTGTCCCTTTCAACACCTAGAGAGCGGTTGGGGAAAGAGTTATGTGTGATGGAGAAGAACTTGTCAGAGAAGTCTAGTTAAGAGTCGGTGAAGCTGAGGCTGGTGTTATGTTAAGCTCAACCCGTGTGCAGTGCATTCTGCAGACAGTGAGTCTGAAGTGATTCATTTTTATATTGTGGCAGCCACGAAACAAGGCTTAAAAATACCCACCCTCTCCCACCTGCAGTTAACTCCCTTTCTCAATAAAAGACACTCTTTGAACACAAAACCATGATGTTAACAAACTAGGGTCCTTTACCTTCGCTATATAAGAATAATCTCTCTCCAATACTCTTGACAACAGCCTGGAATGACAGAAGGTAGCATTAGACAACGCTTTGAATTTAGACAACCATTGTGCATCAGTGTGGGGGACAGAGGAGGTGGCTGATGGCTGCAAACCAGACAGCAAGAAAGTGAGCAGAAGATGGAAATCAGTGTAAGAAACAACAGCATAAAGGAAGAAAAGCAGTGCTGAAGGCCTCGGCCCCCCTCCCGCGGGTACCCACCTCTCCTCCATCCCTCGGAAGCTGTTCCCGATGATGACCATTTTGGACAGGGCCTCTGCAGACCAGTTCCTCCACAGCAGGTTGTTGTAGAGGGCCTTCCCGCAGTGCACCATGTAGAACACCGTGGCTGATCCCTCAACGTCGTGTTTCCCCTCCTGCGGGTACAACAACGCTGCAGCCGAGTACAGCCGGTAACAGCCTTCCCCGTCGGGCCGGGCCCCGCTCACCTCGTTCTCCGGGAGCAGCCTCATCCCGAGCTGCCGCAGCGCAGCCGCCTCCCGGGGGGAGAACGCGGGGTCGAAGAGCGAGCACTGCCCGGGGGGCACCTGCGGGGAGAGGAGCGGCGTGAGCAGGACCCCCCGATCCCTGGTTCCCCCCACCCCGGTACCGGAGCCCTACCCGCAGCTCCTCCAGCAGCAGCAGCAGGAACGCCAGTTGGTACCGGGCCGCGGGGCACGCTCCGAACCGGCCCAGCCCGTAGCACACGCAGCGGGCGGGCGGCTCCGCGCTGCGGCCCAGCGGCGCCCGCACGGCTCCTGCGGGCACGGAGAAAGGCGTCAGGCCCGGCGCGGGGCGGGGCGCAGCCCGTTCCCCCCGCACCGCCGCACGCACCGGCGCTCGCGGCCCAGAAGCCGGAGCTCAGCAGATCGTCCCTGCGGGGAGAGCGCGGTCAGCGCGGGCGGCAGCACCGGGGGGGGGCGCGGGGCCGGGGCCGGGCTCTCACCGCGCCTCCCGCAGCCTCCGCAGCACCGCGCTGCCCTCCTCGTCCTCCGCCGCGGCCCGGCCCCGCCGCCGCCGCCGCCCGCCCGCGGGCCGCCACCCGCCCATGGCCGCCATGCGCCGCCCGCCGGCCGCCGTAGCGCGGCCACGTGGGCAGTCATGGGACCGGAAGCGGCGGCGGCAGGAGCGGGCTGCTCAGCGCCGGTGGCAGCGGCACCGCCGTGGCCCGGCAGTGATGGCGCGGCCCGGTCCCGCGCCGTGGTGAGACCCGACCCCGGCCCCGCTTCCCTGTGCGGCCCGGCCCGGGCTGGGCCGCGTTGTCCCGGTTCGGGCGGGGGAGCGCTCTCTTCACCCGCTGGGAGCAGCACCCGCACCCCCGGCACTCCCCGGGTCCCCCAGGAGCGGGCAGCGGCGGCCGGAGGCTGAATCCGGCCTTTTCCCCTTGGCCGGGCAGGGACTTGATGCTGCGGCTTCGTCTTTGGGTCGCCTTTGCGTTTGGCTTTAGCATTCCCCTGCTCCTGTAGGAAGCTGCCGTGTGCCAAGCTTGTAGCGGGCTGTAGGAGCTCTAACGGGGAGCAACCAGCTCTTTACCAGCAGGGGTAGGCAAAACCCCGCACACAGTAGTTGGAAGTGGGAGCTGAGCAGTGCTGTGGGTAGGCCACCTTCTGGGGGAAGCCTCCCCCTTGTGCTCCCCAGGGCCCCCTGTACCTGCAGTGACCCAGTGAACAGCAGCGGTTCGTGGTTAGTGCTCTGCAGTAACTGCTCTGCGAGTCTGCGAGACTCTGCTGCTTGTAGAGTCTATCTGAAGCCCACAGAAGTGGTCAGATTTTATGGGGTGGGAGCCTTTTAGTACCATTTTTGTGCCTGAGCTCGGTGTGATGGTGTAAGAGCAACATCTCTTCATTTGTAACAACTTCTGCTTGCTCTACCTGAAATAATGGAGAGAGGTGTTTCCATGCATACCATCTCTTGTGTGCATGCTTTGCTTTGGTTTTAGGTGGAATTACTTTTTCCTGTACGATGGTTCGAAGGTGAAGGAAGAAGTAGATCCTACAAGTGCCGGGATTTGTTACTTCTACCCTCCTCAGGTAATGCTGCTTTCATTTCCTTCCCTGCATGGTGAGTCAGTGCTGATGGTTCTGGTTCAGAAATGGTCGGGCTCCCAGGCGTGGCTTTGGGTTCAGTCTGGTTTTGATTTAACCAGCCCCAGGGGGAGAGGAGTTCTGCTCCAGCAGACCCAGGGCACAGAAGGTTTGTGGTTCTGAGCTTGGTGTGGGTGATGGGCTCTTCTCCAGGGATTCTGGTCATCCAGCAGAGTCCAGGTCTCTCCCGAGGATGGGGATAAACACAAGGGATGAAAATTCCCCTAAATAAGCTCCCAGTGATGATTTCAGTGCCTGCTCTGCTCTGTTTGATTTAGAATTGAATTGACCTTATAATTCATTTTTATTTATACCTGGATACAGTGGCAGGTTTTACTCCAAGGCCTTTCAGAACCAAAGAAACCAGCCCTGTTTCTTCCCTGCCTTCCTCTGCAGACTGTCCCGGACCAGCAGGACCTGCTGTGTGGACAGATTGCTGGCGTGGTGCGCTGCATGACTGAGATTTCCAGAGTGCCTCCAAGCCTCATTCGCCTGAGGAAGCTCAAGTTTGCAGTTGTAGTGGATGGAGACTACCTGTGGGTGAGTGCAGGGGGTCTGCAGGCAGCCACAGCAAAAGCTGTAGCAAGCAGAAGGGCTTTTCTTCCAGGGTATGGACCCAGATAGACCTGGAGAGAGCCAGGTGAGAACTTGCAATGCACAACCCTGCGTTGCAAGGTGGCTTAAATGTTGTTTACTGCAACCTGCAGCTGCATTCACCCGTCATTTGTGTGTCCACCCCCGACCTGTTTCTCAGGATATGCCTGGCAGTGGCTGCAAAACACTGAGCTCCATATCCTGATGTGTGTCCATGGGTTACTGGTGATGGCTGGAAACAAGATCCATGTGCTGCAGCGTATAATCAGGACTGTCTCCCTGTTTGTGATAGTCTGATTATTCTTCTAACCCTCAGCATTCCCTGCTGCAGAGCTCTGTCAGTGTCAGCATTCAGGGTGTAAGGAGCAATGTGCAGCAGAGTTGTGATAAAACTGCCCCAAACCTTCCCCAGGCAGCGAGGCTGGGACCTGTCAGACTGATTTAACTGGCAGTGGCTGGGCTCTCCCTGAGGCTGTCCTCCTGGTGCTTCTGTTTCTCTCAGAGCCTAAGGAAAGCGTTTCCATAGCTGTAAATAAGAAGTTAATTTGGATATTTGTGAGTACTTCATCTCAGGAAAACATTCTTGGCCCTTAAAGTACGGGGCTCAGTCATCTCCTGTGGGAAGGGAATGTGTCTGAAACGCTGGATTTCTGACATCATTTGTTTATCCTGTCTGTGCCAGGGCTCTTCTGTGGGTATTTTTGCATTTCCTCTTCAGCTGACTTGTGAATCTGGGGGATGTTTGCCTGCCACAGAGCTGCCTGCCTGCCTCTGACACTCACTGAAAGGCGACAAGAGTTGTTCTCACCTGCTGTGCCTGGGTTTTGTCAGTAAGCACGCCTCATTCATGGCTTTCTGTACTCAAGGTTCTGGGCTGTGCTGTGGAGCTCCCTGACATCAGCTGCCGGCGGTTTCTGGAGCAGCTCATCAGCCTCTTCACCTTCTACAACGGGCCCGTGCACCGTGCGTACATGGTAAATGGAGATCTCTTCTGAGGAAGAGATCTGAAACACTCCCATACTGGCCCTGCTCTGCCCAGGCACATACATAGAATCATAGAATAGTTAGGGTTGGAAAGGACCTTAAGATCATCAAGTTCCAACCCCCCTGCCATGGGCAGGGACACCTCGCTCTAAACCGTATTACCCAAGGCCTCGTGCTGCCTTCTTGCTAGCAAGAGCAAGAATAAGCTCATGTATCAAAGAACTGGGACCTGGAAAAGTGCCCAGGCCCACCCTGCTGTTGCTCCAGGGTAGTGTGGGGAGGACACCAAGGCCTGTGCAGTGACAGTGTGTGGATTTGTGTCATCCTCAGGCACTTCCCCAGGAGGAGCTGAGCAGGCAGTGGGACAGATACATTGAACACATCCAGAAAAACACCAGTGACCTCCACAGGATTTTCAATTCTCTCTGGAATCTGGACAAAACCAAGGTAGGAGCCTGTCCTCTGAAGTGTCTGGTTCTAAAGCTGCCTTAATGCCAATGGTTTTGTGGTTATTTCCTGCTTTGAGCATTTCCCAGGGTTCTCTGGCCTCACTTTTGCTCTTCTCCCCATGTAGGTGGATCCCCTGCTTTTACTGAAAGCAGCTCTCATCTTGCAAACTTGCCAGCGGTCTCCCTATGTTTTGGCAGGCTGCATTCTCTACAAGGGTTTGTAAGTAACCACAGCATTACCTAAAGGGTTAACTGCACATTGCATCTGCCCCTTCCCAGGGCTGTGCTTCGAGAGGGCATCCAGGGAGCAGGGCAAAGGCGCAAGCTGAGCACACAGCTGCTGCTTATTGGTAGGAACATCAGTGCTTCAGGCAGGGTGGTCCCTGTCTGCAGGTGTAGTCACAGAGGGTGAGTGGTTATTTGTCTTTGTAGGTGAGAGGAATGGAAGCATGAGGAGATGCAAGGTTTGGGTTTCAGTAGCACTCTGCTGTCCAGCAGGACATGAAGACCGAACTCCTTTGGCTTTTTAGGTGGAAGTCACTTAAGAAAGCTGTGTGAATGTTAACTCTTCCCCATTAGCATTCTCCTGCACATGTGTGTGTATGTGTGTCTGTGCTTCTGACTTGTTGGCTGTCTGCACTGAGAGTGCACAGAGGAATGAGTCAGAATTCCCCATGAGAAGTGCTGGCTTCTTTCAGCTGAACACTGCCCATAGGTGAAGAGGCTGCAGATGTGAGTGACATCGAGAAAAGCCTCAAAGGTGGCCTTGAAAGACAGGAGGTGGCGCGTTCTGAGCATTTCTTGGCAAGAGCATTCAAGCACCATTTTTCTTTGGCATAAACTGTTCCTGTAACACCTTTTACAAGCACTGGAAACAAGCCACAACGTGTGCATCTTTCTAGGCTGGCAGAGGCAGGCCAGGTGGGTTTAATAGAGTGATCTCAGACTTGCAGGCAGGACACAGTGAGTCACTGCAGCACCTTAGACTGGATGTGGATGTCTGACTCGAACAGAGTCCTGTCCTGCTCCTGCCTGTCACCAGTGTGTGTGTGATTCGTGTCTCTGTCTGCTAGGGATTGTTTGTCACCAAATGTCATCAGAGTACTTAGAACACTGCAAAGGGCTTTGTGCTTGAGTTAAACTTCTTAGAGTCTTTGGAGGATCTCCAGAATGTGGATTTCAAGATGTAGATGGAAAGAACAGTAGCAGCTTTGGAAGCCCCATACAAGGGGCCTGTGCTGCATGGTGTTGAGGGCTGGTCTCTCTGAGTCTTCTCTGCTGCCCACAGCTCTTCATGGTGTGGTGGGAAGCCTGTATGGATTGTGGTATAGATCTTGACTCAGTAAAACCACGTTGGTCCAAAGTAGATGCCAGCAGGTGGTTTGCCTGAATTCAGAGTGGCAGTGACCCAAAGAAAAGAAGTAGACAAGGGATCCTGTGGGTCACACAGCTGTGTTGCTCATATGTGGCCATGGGTTGGCTCCAACCTGTGGCTGGGGCTGGCTCCTTGACCCTTGCAGGGTGTCTGCCAGGACTGGGAGAGGTGGTGGTGCAGTGGAACCTTAGTGTCTCCCCAGAGGTCACTGAGCTGTGCAGTGGGGCCTTGCAGCACCCTCAGCTTCCTCAGGGTACAGTAAAGTCTGGTGTGAGCATCACTGCTGGCTCTGCCTCCTGGTGTGCTGAGCCATGGGAGTCTGTGGCTGAGCTTTGGGAAGCGGCACTGCTCAGGGATGACTTTGTCCTTTCAGGGTTGTGAGCACCCAGCTGCCCCCTCCTCTCACTGCCAAAGTTCTCCTCCAAGGCAGCGACTCTTCAGGCCAGGTAAGTTGCTGGACACATTCCCTGCGTGCTGGTATCATATGTGAGGATGTGGTGTGGGACCTCTTGTCACATGTTACTGGGAAGGACAAATATTGATGCTGCTGCTAAAAGCTTTTATTAGTTATGATTTAGTAACGGTTCAAGGCTTCTGCACTAGGAATTTGCTCTTTTTTTTCAATCTTTAAGTTACTGAATTAATGAACTCTCATCTATGTGATGTTTTTGCTGGCTTTTACCCAAGTTTTATGCATTTAATGGTAAATACACAACATGAATGTCTGAAAGTGACACAGATCTATTTTTGTGTGTGTTAGAACTTGTCAAAAGTAATTATTTATGTGGTTCAAGATCTACTTCAAAAAAGCCCTCAAGAACAGGTATGAGGAAGGCCTGTGCTCTTACTCTGCCCTGAGCATGCAGTAATGGCAAATTGTAGTATTTGTCCTTGCTTTCTGGTATTTGGTTCTTGGAAGTCCCCTTGACTCTGAGGGCTACCCAAGGAACAAACCACCATGGTAAAGCAGTCACAGCATTTGCTGAAGGGGATGGTCTGGGGTGTGCTGTGGTCACAGGGAGGCTGGGATTGATGTCTGGGTGGCACTGATGGAATGTTGAGTCACGCCATGGGGCTGATTCTTGCCTTTCTTTCAGGCTGAGCCTGGAGGTGAGGAGCAGCAGGGGCCTGGTGAGCATCCATCCAGCTGCAGCACCCAGGTCCCAAGTGCCCAGCAGCAGCATCCACTCTGGGGCTGTGCTCCGTGCAGGGAGAGCATGAGCTGGTTCTCTGGGATTAGTGTTAAAGCTCTGGCTGGGTGCAGGAGTATATCCCTGAGGGGGTTGCTGTCACTAGTCAGCATGTGCCAGTGGGTGTTGTGTAATCAGAACGAGTTCCTTCCTTTGGCTGAGTGAAGGAGTTTGCTCTTTTGGGTTTAGTTGTCAGTTCTGCAGATTCCCAAGATGCCTGCTTTAATTCCACTTACCCATGTGCCTACTTGGCCACTGATGGAGCCCTGGAAACAGATGGCTGATGCTTGCAGGCCAAACCTTCAGTCATTGCTTCTGAGCATCAGTTTGTAGCTATTCTGCCAGGGTGGTTAGAAGAAAACACTAAGGGAAAATGAAACTGTCAGGCATTAAGGGTATGAGGAGGATGGGAAGATGCTGCTCAGTTAGATGTGATCAGTTGGTGATCTGGGATGCAGGATGAACGTGTGCCTTCTCCTGCAGAAGCCTTTGGGTTGATGGAGTTTGGCTTCTGTTCTTTATGCTGGCACATATTTATTTAATCCTCACACCCCCATTGCTCTTGCAGGTTCCTCACTGCCGCAGGGTGTCCGGATCATCCCGGTGTTCCTAACAGAAGATGAAGTCTCCGTGCTCCGAGACTTTCCCGTGGAGTGGATGACCAGGTATGGGATCGATGTGACGCAAAGGGAGGCTCTTGCCTCAAGGGAGCTAACGTGTGGTGCTGCATCCTCGCAGGCCTGTTACTGGCATCAGGCTGCTAAAGCAGCCTGAGGTCTCCAAGGCTGGCCACATCCGTGGTGTCCGTGTCTCTGTGTGAAGCAGCCTCAAGCAGAGCTCTTCCCCAGACCAGCTGCCATCCTCTGCTGTGTCTCAGCTCTGCTGCTGCTTAAAGCCTTTGTGCTTTGTGACAAGGGAGTGGTGCTCCCTGAGCCTGCAATGTGAGGTCTATGCTGTTCACCTGTGTTAGACCTCAGCCCATCCTTTTCTGAGGTAGCTGCTCTTTGTAGCAGAGAATAGGTGAGCTGTTGAACACTGCCAGGAAGTGGTAGTGTTACCAGGTGTGTAAGAACTCCAAACTTGTCTCCCACTAGGTCATCCGTGTCCCCAGCAAGCCCTAGAGGAGAGGGAGATGCTCTCCGCTCCCAGGCAGCTTCAGAATCAACAGGAGTTCCTGAAACCCAAGACCTGAATAATGCCTCTGTGCTGGAGATCCCTGAGCAAGCTTCAGGCGCAGCTGCACCAGAAGATGCTGTGCATCCAGGCAGCATTGCAAACAGTGTGCCTTTGGAGAGCTTCCCTGAAATGGAAGCCAGTGCAAAGAACTCTTCAACTGCAGAACTGAGCAGACAAGACAGCTCAGAGCTCAGTAGAAAAGCATCTTTCCCATCAGAGAGAGACACGAAGCAGCTGCCAAGCCCTTCCACACTCCATACTCCTGAATATGCTCAAACTACAGGTCCATATCTGGAAGGCTATTTCTTTCCAAACCCTTACAGCCGAGAGCAGGAGAGTTACAACATGAGGAAATCCCCTGTGGACTCTTATGTTGAGCAAAACAGCTTCCAGACCTATCATGCAGGCAGTGACAATCCAGCTGCTCACTCTCCTGCCCGAGAGCTGAGCAGAAGGAAATTGAGTGACCAAGATGAGGAAGGGACTGTGAGCCAAGGAAGTGTCTCTGGGGAGAGCAGCAGTGCAGCTGGTGGCAACATGCAGGGTTTGGATTGTCCAGCCACTGCTGTACAACCACAGCTCCAGAGCAGGAGCCGGCTGCTGGCTGCAGAGGCTCAGGAGAGCCTGCCTGGTGACCCAGCACAGGGCAGGGGCTGCCCACCTCGGGGGGACGGTCCGGGAGCCCAGGCTGGTGCGGAGTCTGGCAGGGCCTGCGATCCAGTTAAGATGAGCTTGTACGTTCACTCCATTAAGGGCCTTGTGCTCTCCCTTCTGGCTGAAGATCACCTGCGAGAGGAGCAGAGCTCCATCGAGGATGTGGTAAGTGGGGATGCGTTCCACATGTGCAGTGATGCTGCTGCTTGCCTGGTGGTGGGTGACAACCGAGGAGCAAGCGTTGCCTCGCACCTCCCATCTCTTTCCTCACCTGCTCTGTGCTGTGCAAGGCAAAGCCGGTTGGCTTGGGGCTCAGCACCGCAACCAGAGCGGTGTGGGAGGCTGCTCACGAGCACCAGGCAGCGAGCCCGAGAGGTGAGAGCGTTGTCTCACAGGAGGCTCCTGTTGTCTGCCGGTGCCGAGGTGTAGGTGTGACCGTCAGACAGCGCCGCCGGCTGCCAAGGCCTCCGCTGGATTTGGGATGCGTTGGGAAAGCCCGGCAGTTTGTAGTGCTTGTTGGAAGGCAGCAAGCCTTCTCTGCGCCTTCGCACGTCAGCTTCTCCTCTGGAGGCACCAGAGAGGTGTCTGCCAGCAGGGCCCTGAAGCGTTTCCTGTTGAGGTGGAAATCTGGCTGTGGAGCCCCCAGCCTCCTGTCCCTGGCGCTGCTGCCCAGGGGCTTGGAGGGAATGGTGGTGCCGTTTGGGCACTGCAAGTAGGTGTTGCAGTGGAGCAATCCCACATTACTCTATGTGGGATTTGCTGTAGTGCCCAGGCTTCTTTGCTGCCCTGGTGCAGCTAATGGGGCTGTGGGGGAAGTATATGTGCTGGCCCCTGGCATTCCTGGCTCCCGGTGAAGCATCAGTCTGCAGCTGCTGCCTGGCCTCTGCCTCGCTACCAGGATCTGAGTCAAAGCTGCAGAGGCCTCTTTGATATGCAGTTGCCATAGGAACAACCTAATTCCGTTACTCTCAGACTGGAAGGTGCAGGAAAGCTCAGGCTAAGGCTGGCTCCCAGCATCGGCACAGCCTCAAGGTTGCTCCTTTTCCTCCTGAGCACTGGGACTGGGAGGCTGTGCCTGTGGTCCCCTCATGAGCAGGGAGATGCCACCTCCACACAGCACGGAGGGCTTGGTGTGCTGAGGAGGGGATTGCTGCACAGTCAGCAGAGGGGCAGCCCTGGCCTTCTGCACCAGGCATGGCACCGTGCCCTGTCCCCTTTCTGCTGCCTCCAGCTGCACAACACCTCCTGCTCTGCCAGCTCTTCTCTGGTGGGAGGAACAGGGGGAGACACAGGCAGTCTTGAGAGCTGAAGGTCATCCTTATAGCAAAGAACTGTGAGGTTCTCTGGGTCTCCTCCAGCAGCAGCCTGGCTGTGCTCGGAGATGGTGTGATGCCCAACAGCCTCTGCAGCTCCTGTGGCTGTGAATCAGCCTCTGCTCTGCTCCTGCCATTGGAGGGAGCGCCTAAGGATGTGTTAGTGTGTGAAATGCCTTGTTGCAGGGGTTAGCTCTGCTAGTGACACACTGCACTGTCCTCCTCCCATCACACGCCTGGGCAGGGCCAGCCTGGCTCAGCCTGTCCTTCAGTTCATTCAGTCTCAAGCCTGGCGCTGGAGCACTGCTGTTAGGTTGATTTTCCTTTATGTATTGCCCCAGGGCTGACAAATCCCCGTTCCTTCAGGTTCCCCTTTTCCCAAAGGTGCTGCTTCCATCCCGCATACTCTTGCTTTGGATCTCATCTGAGCAGAACCCTCGTGGGTTTTGTTGGGATTGGGTTCTTCTGATTACTCCTTGTCCCACGTGCGGGTGTGCGGTTGCATTGCATGTGCCTCCATCCAGGAGCAAGGGTGTTGGAGGCGGTGAGGCTGGGCTGTGCTGCTGGCATCAGGATGGGTTTGAGGCATAACCTTGTCCTGTCTGTTCCTTTGTTTATCTGTACATTAAAAATGAGCCTCAGCGCTCAGGGATGTCAGAGCTGGGCTGTAGTTAACGTTTGTCGAATGCTTTGAGGCTCCTGAATGACACCAAAGAAGGGTAAAATATGCTACTCGCATGGTTGAGAAGAGCAGACAGCATTGATCATCCCTCAGGGAAGGCAGCTTCCAGAGCAGACGTTCCCTGCAGATCAGGATTCCAGCCTCCCTTCCTGCTGCTCTTCAGGTCTTATCCCTTCATTTCACTGCAGAGAAAAGAGAACCTGTTCCATGAGCAGTGGGGTCGGGCACTGCTGATCCATGCGGGCTGCAGCCTCTCCATGGCACAGGAAAGCAGGAGGGGATGCAGAGGATTATGGAGTTAATCTGCCCAGCCCCGCCTGACCCCTGCCTGCTGCCTGCAAGCCTCAGCAGAGCCAGGAAAGCAGCTTGGCTTTCATGTTAGCACATGGTTGTGTGAGTCCATTGCTCCATGCTGGGCCTGTCATTACCCCACAGATGAGGCTCTTGCCTTGGCTTTTCTTTCCTTCCTTCTGTTGATAGCCTGGTGCCTGCAGCCTGCACTGGCCCGAAGCTCAGAGCAGAGGCTGGGTGCCCGTTAGGACATTTACTTGGGTGCTGCAGGGTAGCACTGCAGTCAGCTAAATCCAGCCCAAGCAGGTAAATCTGCATCCGAATGTTGTACTGTCTGTCTGGTGTCATAAGGGCTGGTAAGCAAAGGAATACTCCTTGCTGTGGCTGAAAGTCATGGCTAGGATGTGAAAATGAGAGTAATGTTTGATGGTAAATTAATGGAGTCTTGCATTTTCCTGTAATTAACAGCATCAGGTGGCTTAATGGCTTAGATCCAGGTTGGAATGCCCTTTTCTCACTGACTTGTAAGGTCTCAGACTCATTTGCTTTCCTGGGCAGCAGCAGCAGAGCATGGAAGGGTTCAGTCCCTCTGTAATCAACATCAGTCACCCGAGCTCCCTCTGATCCAGGCCAAGCAGGGCTCCTGCTCTAACACTTGCCACTTCTTGCCCTTTCTGCAGTACCACAGCAGCCTGGCTTCTCTGAACGGCCTCGAGGTTCATCTGAGGGAGACTCTGCCCAAAGACTCCTCGTCCTCAGCCAAGACAACCTACAGCTTCACTCACTATGACTGCATTCAGAATGTGCTCACAGGTGAGCCTTCAGGGGGGAATAAGGAGGAGAGCAGTGTTTCTGGTGACCTTTTCCCATGCTTCAGACAACTTGCTGTAGGCCACAGACCTGCAGAAAGCCCCATGTGAACTGCTCCAGCTCATTCTAATGCTTCCCTTTTTCTGGCAGCCCCACAGGCAGTGTTCTGGCTCTTTCCAGCCTAGAAGTGCTTTAGGGGAGGAGAGGAGCCCCAGAGATCCTCGGGGACCCAGGTCTCAGGCGTTCTTGTCACCCCTGTGATGTGTGTACCTGTGGGGAGAAGTACCCAGGGTTTTGGTTTGTGCGTGCCTGAGCGTGGTGCAAGTCCCTGTTTCCGCTTAGGTCACACTGGGAGTTTGGGGTCTCCCATCTCTCTTCTGCAGATTTCCAGGCTCTGTGTGAGAGGTCCGCAGCCTCTCCTGCTCGGTAAAGGGGGGCAGGCTCCTACAGACCAGGATTTTAACCCCCCTTCTCACTCCTGTTCTGCAGCCAACCTGCCCCACACGCCTGGCCCGCTGGATCGCCACTTCCTGAGAGCTGCTGCACTGATCCACTCCGACTTCAGCCAGCTTCCCACTGCCTCAGAGGTGATCATTCGGTAAGCTGTGCTCATCACTCCCTCCTCCTCCAGCCCCAGCAGTGCTGCATGGCACACAGAGTAGGCAGAAGAGGGGATCCCCTTCTCCAAGGCTGGTACGTGCTGTAGTCACACCGGTGTCTCTTGCCAAGGTCACTCACATCACCTTATTCCCCGAGGTTTGCTTTTTAGATACCTAATATTCTGCCTGTAGTGTGATCTGGATGTCAAGAGGCCAGAATGCCACCAAGGCCAGTGAAGCGAAGGCAGAGCTGGGTTAAGCCATGGGTTTGGATGAAGATACAGTGCTAGAATATTACCAGTTCCTGGCACCATAAGGTTCTAAGGCGCAGTGTTAAATATAACTGCTCCTAATAAATGTGTGTCTCGGCTGGGAGCCAAAGGCACCCAGAATTGGCAACCTAGATTTTGTTTTCTTGCATGGCTTTGTTGGGTTGGAAACACGCTGTAACGTGCGTGGCAAACTCAATTGTAATGCACCAGGCAAGATGTTCTTATCGCAGCCACAGCCGAGCTCGTGCTCCTGCTCTCCCCGCTCCAGTAGCTGATCCCGGGAGCACTGCTCTGTTGGGAACACACAGGGATTCCGCTTGCTTGGCCGTGCCTGTTTGTCCAAAACATGATGAAATAAAGATGCTTCTGGGAATTACACTGTTTCACTTCCCGACGCAGCTTGCCAAGGGAATGTGAATCATACGCTCAGTGCAGGAGATCTCTGTGCTTTGCATTAGTTTCACTGGCTCCTTAAATCCTCCACCAGCTAAGCTGGCGTATTCTGTGTTGCCCCAAAAAAAGCAACTCCATGTGTGAATCAGCCTGAGTAACAAGATGACTAAAACTGCTTGCTTTCATGGAGAGTTGTTACAGAAGGGTGTCAGCAAACATATCAGTTGCTGCTTTCCTCCATTGAGGGAATGAAGAGTCCCTTGCTTTGCTCCTTGCCAGCCCTCTTGCAGGTGAATACTGAGTGAGGGATTTCAATTTCATGCTTATAGTATCTGGCTATTGTCTGAGCTTCAGTAGGTGCGACTAAAGAGCCTGTGCTGTGATTTGCTTGTGGACAACAGCAGTAAGACAGGTTCCTCCAGGAGAGAATGGGTCTTAGGCACAAGGAACACTTTACCTGCTATTGATGTACTGGGCTGCTCTGCCAGCAAGGGCAGAAGGTGGCCATGTGCATGGGTGTCAGTGCTGCTGAGGGGGTCGCAGAGGATGTGACATAGGACACTTTAGGATGCCAGGACCCTAGAAGGAGGGTCTGGTTCCTTGTGCCCTCCTGCAAGGGTTTAGTGCCATTTTAGCTCTGTGTTCCTTTGTTGAGGAGACCTGAAAGCCCCTCTCCATAGCTTGGCATCCCAGTGCCCAGCCCAGTGAGCTGCGGTGGAGCTTGCACAGAGCTGTAAACCCTGACGTGCCTCCTCTCCTGCCTGCAGGAACGCCGCCACGGCTGTGTACGCCTGCCGGAACCCCGTCCAGGAAACCTACTTCCAGCAGTTGGCTGCTCCCCTCCGCAACTCAGGCGTTCCCAACCCTCACGACAGCGCCTTCAGCCTGCCCAGCAAGGCCAAGCAGAAGCTGCTGAAGCACGGGGTGAACCTGCTCTGAACTGATGCACTGGGGCAGGTCTCGGCCCCTGTGGAAAGGTCGTTCAGCTCCAGTGAATAAGATCTCAAAGCCATATACTCTACAGGAGGCACGAGGCTCCAGGCTGTGTCCATGGGGTCTCCAGCCTGCCTTGCCCTGAGGATGGGGCACTCTCATTGCCCTGTTCTGTGGCATGTTCTGTGCTGGTGCAGGGTGGTATTGACATTAGCACTTACCAAAGACTGAAGATAGACATTGCCTGTGTTGAGGTGCGTGGTTTACATTGACTCTGGGACTGTTCATGTTGCTCTGCTGCCACGGGCAGAGACTCCTGGAGTGCCTTGACCTAAAGAAAAACCTTTTGCTCTAAGCTACACAGACACTGTGCTATGGGGCCGTGGTCAGACACTGCCTCTGCCTGGAAATCTGTGCCTACTTGCCCTGGTCAAACTGGGGCTTTATTTATATCTTAATCCATAGAATTGCTCCCCTGGCTTACCTTGGTTAATGGAGCCTGCATGTTCTCAGATTAACTGGAATAGAACAAGTGCTGCAGAACTCATAACCCTCCTACAGGCACTGTCAGGAGGTGTTTATCCTGTAGCTGATCCTTGTCCCTCACTGCCTGGCTGGTGATGGTGCAGACAGCACTGCCTGCCCCGCTGCCCCATGCAGCTGTAGCCTGCCTGCCTCTTGCAGCTCCATGGGGATGGTGGTATGAATCCACCCAACCCCTGCCCTCCTCATCCCCTCCCTCCTCTTGGAGGGCCTTGTTTCACCTCCTGGCTCTCGTTGCTCAGTGTGTCTGTGCTCTGTGGACAGAGAGTAATTGGGAGCTCCTTAAGCTAATGGGACCAAAGAGGGTTTGTGGCTCTTCTCTTCCTGTGTCCCTGCCATGGCTGGTGATGGCTGCTTAGACCTGGGTGATGGACACCTGTGTCTGTGCTGGTTCAGAGCCTGCCCTTACATACACATCACTGTGACAATAAAAGAGTCTTCAAGGCTCATCCAAGCTCTGTGTGTCAGTGGCCAGAGTCCCACTTACTGCTTGGTTGTGGTGGGGTTCCTGGTGTGAGGGTTGGGTGACCTGTTACTCCTGGTTCCTGTGCTGGTGGGGCTGAGCAGCAACCCCTGTTGTTACAAGTGTGATACATGAGGATTGCTGAAGGTCGGTGTGTTCCTGGCTTTATCGTGGTGAGCAGACTCGTGTGGAGGTAGCAGGGCACCCCCAGGAGCTGGCCCCAGTAACGTCACCATCCTCACAGCTTGTTCCACTGGGACAGTGGGGGATTCCTGAGGTAGCTCTGCTGTGGGGACAGGCAGGGACTCCGGGGGAAGAGCCGGCTGCCTGCTCAGGGCTGGCTGGGCAGGGATTGCCTCTGCCTTCCCCCGTGGCAGCGGAGGAGGTGTTTGAGCAGCAGGAATGCTCGTGACACTGCTCCTGCTGCTGCTTGCTCTGGATAACAGCAGTGTGGGTGGGAACGGTCCTTGGGAAGCCTGAGCTGCAGCCAGGCAGGAGCCCTCCTGCTGTGGTGATAGACAGTTGTGGACAAGCTGCTCTGGCTCTGGAGTGCAGTGCCGGGAGGCACCGTGTAGGTGAGGGATGCGGCGGTGGGAGAAGGCAGGAGGGAAGATGCTCATGTGTTGCAGCTGGCTTGCGATGCTCTGGGTTCCTCTGACATCCTCCCCCACCTCCTCTCTGCCTGCTCAGCAGCCCCAGTGCAGGCTCCCTCAGTGGTGCTTGGGAGGTGAGGAAGCCCTGGGCTGCCAGGAGGAGCAGCGAGGCAGCTCCGGGCTGCTCTGCTCCCCCCAGGGAGATCCTGCTGGCTCCTCGCTGGGTGTTTGGGAAGTGCTTGGGAGCTCCACTGGGAAACACGAAGAAGTTGAAGGAAAAGCCTGAGGGGGACAGGAGGGAGTTTTGGCACAGCAGCAAAGCACAAGATAGATGCTTTTGCCTGCTGTCAGGGTTCTTCCACTACAATCTGCTGTGCCGTCTGTCGGCAGTGGAACAGCTGGGGCTGCTCTCTTCCCTTCCTGCTTCTTGAGCTGCATCTGGCCACCAGGACCTATTGCTGTCCTTAGTTAAGAGGAAAGTTGTCTTGGGGTAGGACAATGGAGAGCTCCAGGCCCTTGACTTAATGGTTATGTTGCAGAGAGGCTGTTTGAAACCGGCCTCATCCCAGCCTGGAGCTCCTGCCTTTCCGCTTTTCCAGCCATTTCTTCCCACCAGCTCCTGCTGAGCAGCAGGAGGAAGCAGGATCCAACCCCATAGTGACTGACTCGTTACAGCAGCAGGCAGAGCCCGGTCTGTTTCAGCACAACTGTTTATTGATAATCTTTGCTTATCCACCACTGTATGAATGGTACCAAACCCTGAGCCAGTGACCGGCTCCCGCAGGGTCTGGTGCCGGGCAGTCGATGCGTGTAGAAATCATGCACGTCAGATAGTCTGTAACAGGACAGGTGTAAAAACCATCTCGGATGTATCTGAAATCTCTGCCTTATCCTGCAGCCAATCACTGAAAAACCTGTCCAGAAACCATGCTGGGAAGGGGCTGTGTTCCCTCCCCACAGGGTCCCTGGAGCCACCTCCTGAGCAGAGGTGCAGGATGGGGTGAGCATCACAGGCTGTGTTACAAACCCTATGGTAGCTCCGTACCCCGAGAGCCCAAACACACCCTGGGTGCTGGGGGCCTTTGGGAGGAGCGTGTTGGTTGTTGTGTGCACAGGGCACTGGGGCCTCTGCCTTTGGAAACCTTCCCTTTGCTGTGAGGTCTGTGTGAGCTGCCTCTGTACACTTGCCCTGGCTTGAGGAAAGGAGAAGATGGAGCAGCAGAGGGAAGCTCATCCATCTCCTTTCTTCCCTGGCCTTAACCTATGGAAAACAAAAGCCCTGCGCCACATTCCAAACAGCATCCTGCCCCTGCAGGGGCTGCCCAGCTCCAGCTGTGACAGCCCAAGGTTGCAGATAAAGCCAGGAACGGATTTCGGTAACTGATAACACCCTCGGTTCAGATTAAAGAGCAGGAAGAAGAGGAAGCAGGAGCCCTGGGGATCACGGTGCAAGGGCTCTCTGTGGGCAGAGCACTGCCTCACCCACCCCAACGGAGCAGCCCCTGCCTGGGGCAATGCATTATGACCCCTACAGCCCCCAGCATCCATGGAGGGACTGTGATGAAGCCAGGGCTGGGCTGCTGGCTGGGTCGCTGTCTTGGTGTGTGTGTGTTGGGTTTTTGGCTGATGACCACAAGAAGTTTTACATCATCACATTCAAACGAACACCCTTGGCTTTGTTACTCTACTTCTGAACACCGCAAAACACAGTAGCAACGTAACACGCAGGAGGAGAGTGGTGCTGCAGCTGGACCATGGAGGGAAGGCGAAAAGAATCCCTGAAGCCGACGATGGAGGGGAGGGATGGGCGCGGGGACACGTCGCAGTTTCCATTTACAAGAGCCCGGACCCGAGGCCGTGCGCCGGGAGGCAGCTCCCATCTGGTGCCGGCGCCGAGCTGGCCCGGCCGCCCTTGAACCCACTGCCCTGGCCAGCGCCGTCATCGTCCCGGCGCGAAGATGAAGTCGAGGGCTTGGCGCTCAGCGGCGGCCACGTTGGGGTGCCACAGGTCCACCATGAAGATCACGCGGGGACCCTCCTCGGGGGGACCTGGGATGGAAACACACGGTGAGGCTGTGCTCCGGCTCCCATGGGATGATGCTCGCCCTGGCGCGAGGGTGATGGGCTCCATGGTGGGAGGCTGCTGCTTGTACCCGGAGCGTGCACCAGTACAGGGCCAGGTCCCAGTAAACACCTGAACCGCTGCTTACTGGGAGCCCAGCACCTCCAGCACAGGGTCAGGGCCTCCTGGCAGAGCTCTGGGCAATCAGACCTGGAGGTTTCCCATCACAGGCAGGATGCTGAGCTCGCCCTCCTCACAACTGCATCTCAGAGCCCTGCAGGGAGCTGCTGCTGCGCTGTTCCAGCCTTCCCAGCCCCACGGCTCTGCACTGAGCAGCGCTTCCCAATCCCACAGCAGGGCTGATGTGGGAGCAACAGCTTCTGTTCTCCCACTCTCTCCACACGCACGCTCCCCTGCGCAGAGCGGCTCTGATGGAGGCTGTTTACGCCATCAGCCGCTAATGCCGGTTAATCCGGGAGAGCCGGAGCGGAACGGCCTCCATCAGTAGCGGGAGAGGCGGAACAGGGCCTCCATCAGTAGTGGGAGAGGCGGAACAGGCCGCTGGGAAGCTGCTCTCCCTGCACAGGAGACAAAGGCACCGCGGGCACGTCAGTGCCGGGCTGATGCAGCTGTGGGAATGCTGTGAGGGCCGGAGGATGCTGCGGCTGCAGCACCAGAGCCTGAGCTGCACTGCGCAGCCCTGGAGGATCACAAGGAGAGCACTGCTGCTCCCCAGCCCCAGCACGGCACCGCTGCAGGACAGCGTGAGCCCCCTCGGGGTTCACTTACCCTCATGGAACGCCGTGTGCAGGAAGGAGTCATCGAAGAGCAGGCAGCGGCCCTCGGCCCAGCACTGGGGCTCGCCCCCCACCACCAGCTCGCAGTTACTGGGTGTCTTCAGACCTTGGTGCACACAGAGAGAGGACAGGGTCAGGGCGGGCTCCCTGTGATGAGGAGCAGCCCTGGAACGGGAACAGGGAGCCCCATTGCAAACCCCTCGTGGGGAAGAGGTTCTCCATGGGCAGGACAACCTGAGAAATAAAATGGGTCTGTCCCTAAAGCACGAGGGCAACCCAGGCCAGTCTGAGGGGTGATCCCATCACCCTGCAGCACCGGGGGCTCTGGAGCTGGTGCAGTCACCCTGCCCCAGGGACGCTGCCATGGTGGAGAAAGGGGTCAGGGCTCACGTGAATCGTAACCGGTAACAACACAGCAGGAACGGATCTCAAAGAGATGCAGCAGGGGCTCAACCTGCCCGGGAGAGCTGGGAGCACAGAAGCTGCTCTGCTTTCCTCCTGGATGCTTCAAAGCTGTCAGACACCAAAGCCTTTTCCCTGCACAATGGCCTCAGCTGGAGATGCTCCAGCTGGAAAGGAGGAGCTGAGCCTGCAGCCTGCAGCCTTGCATGGCATCCATGCCTGGGGAATGCTGCCCGGCCCCTGGAGGGGCAGAGCTGGTGCCTGAGCATGCCCCAGTGCATTCAGCAGCAGTCACAGGGTTGGAGTGAATCCTGCAGAGCACCTTGCCCACACTGATGGATGCTCTGACCCTGCACAGTGAGCTGGCATCAGAGGGCAGGTTGTCTCCTAAATGTACCCATGTCCTGGGCACCGCAAGAACTGATCCCAGCACTGAGATGGGGATGTCAGTGTGCCCTGGGCACGGTGCTGTGTCCTGGCTGGAGCTGGAAAACATGGAAGGACAAGGGGATGATCCACATTGCTCATCTCCCCAGGTCATGCTGCTCCAGCCCTAGAGCTGATCCCAGCCTTGTGCTGCTGCTGCCGGGGCAGGTCTGAGCCATTGGTCCCCCCCAGGAACCGCTCTCAGCCCCTTTCAAAGGGGACGCATCTCCCCAGCACCCCAGGGCGAGGGCAGAGCCATTGTCCAGGTCCCCAGGCCTGGAACGCTCCTCGGATCCGCTCTCCAGCCTGCTTCCCATTGTGATAAACGGGCAGTCGCTGCCGGAGCCTGTTTACCCAGGAGCTGGCTGCGCCGTGGTTGATGTTTGCCAGCAGGGCCCGTGCGGTGCCTCCCCCCGCACGGTCTGTGCTGGTTCCAGTCCCACCATCTGTGCCTGCAGGAGCTCCCATCCCGGCAGCCCGGTGCCACCATCCAGCGCCCAGCACCCGAGGGGATACCCCAGGACCCCCCGTCTCAATCTGCACCAAAGCAGGATCTTTGCTCACATCTCCCGGAGAGCACCCGGAATTCCAAGACCCCCAAATCTCACAGCAGCAAGAGCCCCGGATGGCAGGGGGAGGAGGTGAAACGCTCACAGGGCTGAGCTGGGCACCCTGGGGAGGTCAGGCACTGAGCACCAGCCTCTCCTAGGGAGGATGCTGCTGCCCAAGGCCCAAACGCCCTCAGACCAAAGCACAGCAAACCTGAGCTCGTCCTGGGGATGCAATTGGTGGCCCCCTTAAGGGAAAAGCTGGAGAGGGGCTTTGGACAAGGTCCTGTAGGGACAGGCCAAGGGGAATGGCTTGAACCAGAGGGGAGACTGAGCTGAGCTCTTAGGCAGAAGCTCTTCCCTGTGAGGGTGCTGAGGCGCTGGCACAGGGTGCCCAGAGAAGCTGTGGCTGCCCCATCCCTGGCAGTGCTCAAGGCCAGGTTGGACACAGGGGCTTGGAGCAAGCTGCTCCAGTGGAAGGGGTCCCTGTCCATGGCAGGGGTTGGAGCTGGATGGGCTTTAAGGTCCCTCCAACCCAAACCATGGGATTCCATGACCTCAGGGTACAAGAGGCCTTTCTGGGATCTGGGCACCCCCTGCCCCACTCAGGGCAGGATGACCCCCGCCGGGCACTCACCGAGGTGGCAGCGGATGCGGATGTTGGTGGGTCCGTAGTGCTCGGCGATGACGGTGCCCGGGCTCAGCACGGAGATGCACGCGTTCCCAAAGACGTTGTTGCCAATGCAGGTGCGAAGGCTGCCGAGCAAGCGGTACGTCCGTGGGCATCTCCTGCAGTTCCTGGGCACGCACATGCCCTGGTTCACCAGATAGAAGGTGAACCACTCCCCGCTGGCCGTGCTGTTCATTTTCCATCCTTGCGGGAGGCTGCAGTTTGAGAAAGCTTTGTAGAGGGTCTCAAACTCGCACAGGATGGTCTGGAAGTTGCGCTCCAACAACTCCACGTCGTGCTTTTGAGCGTCCCGGGAGAAGTAGGGCATGGTGGGCAAGTCCGGCAGGAAGAAGACCTCAGGCTTCTGGATGGAGGGCCGGCTGTTGAGGTAGCGGCCCTGCTCGCGGATGCCCTTGTGGATCCTGCCCATGCCGGACCAGGAGTAGCGCTTGGCGTACTCCTGCAGGTTGTGGTAGAGTTTCTGGTTGAGGCCGTCGTGGTGCGTGCAGCGCGCGCACTCGGGCGCGTGGCAGAACACGAACCCGTTCTGCACGCCGTTGGCCTCGGCGCTCTGCATCAGGGCGTTGACGGTGGGGTAGGCGCGGGGCTGCTCCCGCCCCACGTGGTAGCAGTACCACAGGAAGAGCACCAGCAGGCAGGCGACCGCGGCCAGGGCCGAGGCGTCGCAGTCCCGGAAGGACTGGATGCCGCTGGCGATGAAATCCCGGAGCCCGTCCAGGGACCAGCTCCAGTCCAGCAGCCACTCCATGGACATGGTGGTGCAGCGGCACGCGGCGCTCAGAGCTCGAGGGCCTCAGGGGCACCCACACCGTGCAGCGGCGCCGGGGCTGCCATGGGGCAGTGGGAGCCCGGCATGGGCAGCAGCAGCAGCAGCAGTGCCAGGGCAGGCCCAGGGGGTCAGCAGTGATGTGCAGGCAGGGTCCCCACCAGTGCTCCTGGCACCATCATCCTGAGAGGCAGCGCTGGAGGGAGGCTCTGGGGAGAGAAACCAGGAGGAGTCAGGGAGAAGGCTTCCCCCTGGGGACCCTGCAGCCGGGGGCACCGGTTCCTGTGTGGGATGATGGATAAGGAACCCAAGAGCCCATGCTGAGAAACCCCCACCCCTCCCAACAGCATCCTCCACAGATATCTGAATAGAAATAAAGGGAAGATCTTTCTCACCCACCACCCATGGGCAACGATCTCTCCTCCTGCTCTCCCCAGTTTCCCTCCTCCATTCCTGCCTTATCATATCTGAAACCTGGCTGACAAGGCAGCAGGGCAAAGCTGGGAACAGACACTTAAGAGCCCTATAGAGCAGCACATCAGTTCATCTCCTTGATCTAAATGCGCTGAAGTGATTCTCCCTCCAGAGACCGAGTTGACAGCCCAGAGGTGGGATGCAGGAACCCAGGCTTGGCCAGCGGGACAAGGACACTCGGGGACATGGGAGCCCAGACAAAAGATGCTTCAGCTCCTCAAAACCACGACTGATGCTTGCTCACCCCATGCTCCATCCCTGGGCACCTCGGAGCAGCTGGAGGGGAGGCAAAGAGGGGGCAAGGAATGGAAGGGAAGCACAGACCCTGCTGGGAACATGCCAGGAGCTACCCTGGCCTTCAGTGCACTGCCAGCACCGGAGGAGAGCCCTGTAATCACTGATGTGCAGCAGCTGAACACAGGTCAGGTCTGCACACAGAGCAGATGCTCAGGCTGGGCATCATGGAGGGTCACAACCTGCCCTGGAGCACTGAACGCAGGGTGAAGAACAGGGGCTCTCACCCTGTTCCTGTGTGCTAGTGCTGTGCCAGGCAGGGCAGGGGGATGCAGCCTGCAGGAGCTGCAGGGCAAACAGCTCCCATCTGAGCAACACAGGGATGATACAGGTAGGGGGGAGGGAGATGCCGTGGGAGCTCATTGGTGGGAGCACTGATTGAAGGAGTAGGGATGGGTTTATTAGCAGGGAAGGAAGGCAAATACCATCCAACCGCTCCCAGCTGAGGTCCTGCAGCCCGTTAATGACCGTGCATCTCCCTGCTGCAGGCAGTGGTGATGTGCTTCAGCTTGTGGAGCTTTGGCTGGGACCTGACCCTGTTGCTGTAGACCTGGTGCTGGGGGCACAGGCTTGGGGCAGTTTTACACCCACAGTAACCTCCCTCCCTCTCTCCATCCATTCCTTGCAGCACGCTGCCTGGTGCCCCATCCTGGGATCAGCAATCCACGTGGCATTCACAGCCTCCTGGGAGTGTTAAGGTAACTTCCCCCCATCCCCATCGACTGCCATCCCTATGGACATGTTGCTTTCTCCAGCCCAGGCCTTAGCTCCCAGGGTGCAGCTGGACCCAGGGGTATTCCCTAAGGCCAGCACAATCCCCCCATGCTCCTTGGTAGTACCAGAGTGTGCTTGGGAATGCTGGCAGAGCCCTGCCATGATCTGTATTCAGGGTGGCTCTCACCCTGACAGCAGCAGCCCAGCAGCCAGGCTCCTTCAGAAGCCGACTGATGAAGCCAGTGTGCAGGGAGCAGAGCTGGGGGGTCCCCTACAAGGGTGGCACAGCACAAACAGCCCCACTGCTGCCCAGGGCTGCTGCCAGCACCTCAAAGGGGGAGAAGCAGGTGAGACCACGAGCGCAGTCAGAGATGTGAGCCCCTGTGCCCATGTGCAGCTGCCTGGCCCTGAGCCTGGCAGCCAGGATCTTCACAGGGATGCTCCATGCAGAGCCTCCCGCCGGGATGCAGCCACCTCCTGCACTGGCACAGGCAGCCCTGGGGCAACCCTGCCCCAGCCACCTCCCACAGGGCAGCGCCCCGAGTGCCAGCACAGGGTGGGTGCTGCATGGCTGGGACCTGCTGCTGGGTGGCTTGATGCTGTCACCCTGCACCGAGGCAGGCAGTGACCCTGACACCCCCGGTCTGAGACCAGAGGAAAGGCTCCTAAGAGCCGGCGGGGCCAGCCCAGGAGAGTGGAATCGATTCCAGGCTGCACTGAAGTTGTGCAGGACGTGGAGGCGAGCACCGTGCCAGGCAGCAGCGCCGTTACATAATGAAGGCACAGAGGCTTCGATGCAGCAAAAGTTGCACCTCGGTGGCTCCATGGGGACCCCGGCATCGCCCGGGGCAAGCAGGCTCCGCTCAGCACGGCCGGGCTCCCCAGGCCGCTGGCCCCGCGCTGACGGGGATGATGCGTGGTGGGGTGTCCTCGGCGTGGCATCGCTTTTGGGAGCAGCACCGGAGCCTCCTCGGGGCGCTGGGGTGCCGGCTGCTGCTCCGGAGCGCGCTTCACCCCTTCCCCATGGGGCCACCCCGGCGGTGGCACCGGCGCCGGTCGCATCAGCGGTGGCAGCGGTGCGGCAGCGCTGCCCGGGGTGCGGGTGTCCCGCGTGTCACGCAGCGGGCGGGGGGCAGCCGCTGCCCCGCTGGGGCCCTGAGCAGCACCCCCGGCCCTGCCGGGCGGAGCCCCCGCCGCGGGCACCGCTCCCGCCCCGCCGCACGCTCCCCCCCCCGCCTCATGCCCCGCACCGTGCGCTGCTCTGCGGCGGTACCGACCTGCAGCCCGCACCGCACCGCTTCCCGCGGGGCCGCCGCTCCGCTCCCCGCCGCTCCGCTCCGCTCCGCTCCCGCCGCCTCGGACCACAACTCCCATCAGCCCGGGCAGGAGGCACCGCGCCGGGCCGGCAGCCTGCGGGCCCCGGCCGAGGCACCGCCCGCCCGCCCGCCCCTCGCCGCGGCCTCGGGGCGGCGCGGCGCGCCCCCGCACCTCGCTCCCGCACCGCGCGGGAACGGCGGGGTTGCGGCACCCGGGTGGGGGTCCTGGGGATGGAGCGGCGGGAGGCGGGCGCGGTGCTGGTACCCGGGGGAGCATCCTCCCGGCTGCGGCTCCCCGGGATCGGGACACGGGCAGAGGCACCCCGGGGTGCAGCAGGACGTGCAGGGAGAGCCGGGGGCTGCAGCAGTCGGGACGCAAGGGATGGGAGCTCGCAGGGATGCAGGCACGCAGCATCCTGCCTCTGGGGTCACACACTGTTAGGGGTGCAGCAGTTGGGATGTGCAGGATGTTGGCTCCAGAGATGCGGGTGTCCAGGGATGCAGGGAGTGCTGGCTGCAGAGACACAGGCAGGGGGGAAATGCAGCACCCAGGATACTGCTTCCCGAGGATGCATGAGTCTGGTTGCAGGGGACAGGAGCAGCCAGGGTGTGCCTCAGTGAGGGTGTGATTTAGCAATTTGTGGTGTCCCTGAAGAACTCTTTAAATGCTGGTGGAGGAACAGTTTGTTGTGAGCCTTTCTGCTTCCTGATGGCTTTTTTCTTCCCCAATCTATTTCCCGTTCACCTAAGCAATCCAGGATCCCCGGTTAAATCCTTCCACCAACCTCCCCATTGTTAGATAAGCTGTTGTGTGTGTGTGTTTGCTCTGGAGCAACCTCATCCCCAGTGACTGCAGACCCAAACTGTGCCTTGGTTTCTGTCCTGGCACATTTCTGCCTCCTGTCTGCTCCTGGTGTTTCCCTGTGATCCCACAAGCGCATTCCCTGTGCCAGCCCCCCTCGGTTTGCTCCTGCAGGGTCCTGGCAGCATCACATGTTGCAGGGTGAAGGGAGGGCGAGTTTATTCCCTCCTGCTCTTTCCCAGGCCCCAGCTCACACCTCCTGTTCTTGGCAGGCAGCGCATCCTTCTGTCACCGAGTCTGCTGGCTCTCGGTGCTGGGCCTCTCCCATTCTTTCTCCCCTCCATCTGCCTTCTGCTCTCTGCTCCCCGTTGGTCCACTCCAGACCCTGGGCCTCAGCTCTGCTGCTCCTCCTTTGTCTGCAGGATGAGCTGCCCTTGGCTTTCCTCTGCCTTTAGGATGTTGCTTGGTCCTCTTCCTCCTGGGGCTGGATGGCTCTGCTGGGGTCCCCTGGAGCACCCACCCACAGCACCCATGGGGTGGCTGCAGGATGGAGCTGGGAGCCCAGCTCCTCTGTAAAGGGGCACCAGGAAGGTCACTGGGCTCAAGGCAGGACAAGGGTCTGGCAGGGTCCAGTTGTGCATGGGTAACAGGCACAGGAGCCACCCCATGGCAGAAGGGCTGGGAACAGCCCTGGGGTGCTCTTGGCACAGCTCTGCAGCCTCGTGGCTCCCACGGTTCCTTCTCCTTTCCCTGGGATGTTCTTCTGGGGCAGGCATGAGCCTGTGTCCTCCTGAGCTGCTGCCAGGATGCAGCTGCAGCCAAACCTATGCTGCCTGTGCCAGGGCAGGGTTTCCCAGAGTGTTTAGGTTGGAGCAGGGACCGTGTTCCCAGAAGGGCCCTCCCTGTGCTCCCTGAGCCGAGATCAGCATCATGCAGGCTCCTGCTCCCTGTGTCCCCTCCAGACCAGCCTGTGCCCAGGCAACGGGTGGGATGCTGAGCACGGGTGTATGGCTCAGCCCTGCCTCCCCTCCTCAGCATCCCTGTCCCTGAGCATTGCTCCTCCGCAGCCCAGCCCCGAGCCCCTGCTCTTTGCTCTTTAATCATACCCCATGCTGCTGCTGCTCTGATGCTGCACAGAAAGATGCCAGCACCGCCTCAGGGCTCTGTCACTGCTGGCACCAGTGACTGTGGATACCCCACAGCCAGTTCCTGCCTCCAGCACTGAGCAAAGCCCACAGCAGAGCTGGGGCTGGGGTCAGCTGCTCTCCCACCCCTCCATCCTCTGCATGGGTCCCCCAAACTGCTTTGGTTCCTGCTGAGAAACAACCCAGCAATGGGGGAAGGTGCAGGAATGTGGCCACTGAATGGATGTATGAAACCCAGCTACGGCCCATGAGCCCTGGGACACGCTGCCCTGCATGCGGGGTCCCTGCTGCTGCATGGCCGAGCTCAGGTGGGTGCACAGGGGATGGCTGAGGGAGGAGCAGGCTGTGCCCCCCGCAGGGGAGGTGGGTGACGGCTGCGGCTGCTGCACCCAGGCACGGCTCAACCGCAGCACGAAGCGGGAGGCTGGAGCTGGGCTCCTGCTTTACGTCACCGCGGAGCAGCGGCAGCAGCGAGATATCCCCCCCCCCCATTCGTTTTAATTCCCTTGCAATTTCCATCCAAAAATAACCCCAGCTCCCTCCTCCGGGAATGCTGCGCATCCCAGCCCCAGCTCCCGCGCCCTCCGCATTAGCCTGACAGCTGCTTAACGAAGCCATCATCTGATGGCACATCACAGCCTGGCTTAAAGCACACTCGGAGTTGTTGTGTTGTTCGTGCAGGGATGGATGGGAGGCTCCAGGTTTCCTCGGCTGGGCAGCAGCAAGGATATTGCCCTGGGTGGGTTGTGCCCCCCAATCCCTCCCCAGTGGCCATTGCCTCTGCCAGGGAAACCTGGGGCTCTGCAGGCATCGGGCAATGGTGTTTCATAGAATGGTTTGGGTTGGAAGGGACCTTAAAGCTCATCCAGTTCCAACGGGCCACGGGCAGGGACACCTTCCACTAGAGCAGCTTGCTCCAGCCTGGCCTTGGACACTGGATCTAACTGGGATGTCCCCGTGACCCTGCTCCTTGGCAGTGCAGCAGCACAGGATGCAACCAGTGAGGAGCCATATGGAGGTAGGCAAGGCAACCCCTCATGTTCTCCCTGTGGTTATGGGGAGCCACCCTGCCCCAGCCAGTACAAGTGACACCTGTGGGTCATTGCTGTGGTGCCGGATGGGTCCCCATGACCCCCACCCCATAGGGCTCCCCCAAACCTCCTGCACATCCTCTGTGATGTGGCCACGGGTCTCCAGTGGGGTCCCAGTGCTGAGGCAGCTGGCTCCCATGGGGTGTCCCATGGAGGAGGGATGTCCCCAGCACTGAGCCTCAGCCTCTGTCCCAGCCAGGCTCAGACAAACGCATCCCATGGGAGCAGGGGGACCCTATGGGGTTGCACCAGTGCAGGATACAGCTCGCCCTGTGCATCAGCGGGACCCTGCCTGCGGTCCAGGGCTCTGCAAACCGGTTCCACACATTAAACCACAGAACAGTTTACACCGAGGTTACACTGAATGCTCGAGCTCCCCACGGAAGCACTTCATCATGTTCAAAAATATTTAATCCCAGCAATTTTCACATTGTTCTTATAAAAACAGACCTGTATGAAGGGAAATGAAATGCTTCGTACATTTTTGGCACATTTTTTTCTTTTTTTTTTTTTTCCTTTTTTTAACCTTTACAAATTACAAACACACATTCATTGTTTTTAAAGGAAAAAAAACCACCCCTCGGTCTCAGCTGTACACTGCAGAGATGCACGAACCACCCCGGAACTAAACCAGCCTCCCGTGGTTACAATTGCTGTTCTACAGGGGCAAAGGAGAGGCACCGGCAGCCCAGGACATGTTGGTGGCTTCCCTGCCCTCCCCAGGGCCTGGCTATGGAGGTTGGTGGCATGGGGGGGCCTTGGGAGGAGGTGGCCCTTAGGGGTCCATGGGAATGGGAGGCAGCCCTGTGGTGTCTGGCTCTGGCAGGGGTGAAGGCAGTGGGAGAGTGCAGGGGATGCTGAGGCTCCAATTGGGTTTTGCCTGGGGTGGGACCTGCTTTGAGGGCCTGATTCCTGCCTGTCCTGCTCCCCAAGGGCTGGTCTGTGCCAGAGCCAAGCACTGCCTGCCCCAATAACCTCCGTCCCCTCTCCATTGCCTGTCCCACCATGAGCCCCAGCACAGGGGCTTCAGGTGGGAGCTACAGAGCTCTGGGTGGGCTACACTGCCTTGGTGCCTGCCTGGCACCACCACCTGCATGCTGGGGACCCCCCTGTAGCCCATCCTGCTTACCCTGAGATGCTACCGAGGGGTAAGGAGAGACCGCTGGGTTCTCATGGCAAGGGTTATGGTGAGCGTGGCTAAAGAGGCACAGGCTGCAGAGCTCCCCTTCACTGTGTGAGGCTCCCCATGGCTCCGGGCTGCTGGGCTCACTGGTTAATGCCTCTCTGTAGAGCTGGGACTCCTGGCCTGCTGCCTCTCCAGCATCCAAAGCAAAGCAGGGAAAGCAAAGCGGGATGTACCAGTGTGTGCCAGGCAGCGTTCCTGAGCCACGCTCTGCTCCCACAGCCAGGACAGTCCCTGTGCTGCTGGCACACAACCCCCTGCGGTCCCTGCTTGGGCAGAGGGGAGCTGGGAGCCGCGGGGTGGGGAGGGCTTGCAGGACCCTGTGGCAAACCTCAGCTCCCAGCAATGGGCTGCAGGCTCTTGCAATGGATTTAATTCTGACACCAGAGCCGCAGTAACCCCGCTGTGTGTGTGAACAGAGCCAGGGGATGTGCCCCTCACACTGCCCTGGCCTCGCTGGACCCAGCCCTGCCCCGCTGCTGCCTGCGCCCAGGCTCTGCAGCACACCTACCCCAGCTTAAATAGAATAAATACAGTGAAGAAAACAGTAAAGTCTTCCAGAAAGAGGCAAAAGGAAAGACAACAGCAGGTCCAGGGGTCCAACCAAACTCCACGTGGGCTCTGGATTAGTTACTGAGGAAGGTCTATGAGAGCACAGTAAGTTCGCAGCCAGAGACTCTCTTACCACTGTCCTTATATCGAAACTTCGTATTCTCTTGTTTCCTGGAGGGAAGGAAAAGCCAGTTGAAGGAGCAGCTGCTTCTCAGGACAATCCCACCATTCCCACATGGAAAGAGAGGTTATTCTGCTCCTGCAGAAGCGACGCCTTCCCTACCCAGAACCTGCAGCCCACCCGGCCACTGGGAGCAACAGGGATGGAGCCTCCCATCACTCC